GGAACTGGATCTAATCTGACCCCAGCAGCTAAGAAATGAGTGCAGCAGCAAGTACACCATGAGGCACCAGCCATTATATCATGCAGCCTGAATGATTTCTCATTAAGCCCAGTGGAAAGACTCTTGCTACTTTCAGTAGTAATCAGTTAGGGACAAAGATTAACACAAGATAAAGCTGTAAGAAAAGTGATGACAGTGGGATGTCATATGGTCACAAACCACAAAATCATGTGCTAATGATGTGCATATGAAACTGAAGTGCTACCTAAAAATGCTTTAGAGTCATACATGGAAGAAAATAGTGCAGCTGTTGAGCAATCCACATTCTTGGAAGTGCTGGCTTGAGTCTACCTGCACATACTTCTATCCCTGCATAGCAAAATGCGCATATTCCATCTTATAATTATTTTCCAAGTATAAATGTTTTGTTGGGTGGGGTAATAATGATTTTTGCTTGTTGTGATAAATGAGTATCAGTTCATTCCTTTCAGGAATGTATAATTTATATCCCTGATTTGTTGTGTGGAATAAGTTATCTGTGGCACTATCAGCAGCTCCCACTGGAGTGAGAAAGCATTAGAAGTCCCATCTTTAAATCAAGCCACCACAGTGGGAGTTCAGAGCCCTTTATTCAGCACGAAGTCACACTGCTCAAGCCTGGTGACAGACTGAACATTAAATGTCCAAAGACAGCAAAGCAAATTGGCACAGCACCCCACTGAAAAAGTGTCTGCGTGGCTCCAGAATGGTTTTCAGTGGTGTAACAAGCCTTCAGTTGCTTGTAGCCCTTAGAAATCCTCCTTCAGCTCAAATATCTACCATCTTCTACTGTCCTTGGAGATGAGGTGTGGAGAGGTGCAAGGTCTGTGCATAAATATCACAGAACATGGTGAACCATGAGGGCTTCTGCATTTGTCACTGGCTTCAGAACAACTGCATAAATTTAGCCACTACATACATAAAGAAGGCATTAATCTATCTAGATAGCATCTAGAGGAGGACTGCAAGGCTGGTGAAGGGTCTGGAGGGGAAGCCTTAAGAGGAGCAGCTGAGGTCACTTGGCTTGTTCAGCCTAGAGAAGAAGAAACTTGACAGGAGACCTCATCACATCCTCACAAGGGAAACCAGAGGGATGGGCAGTGATTTCTTCACTTTCTTGGCTAGTGAAGAAGAGATAGCATGAAGCTGAGTCAGGGGAGGTTTAGGTCAGGTATTAGGAAAAGATTTTTCACCCAGAGGGTGTCTGGGCACTGGAAATCTCCTCAGGGCAGTGGGCACAGCACCACTGTCTCAGTCCATGAAGTGTTTGGATAATGCTCTCAGGCCCACTGTGTGATTCTTGGGAATGCTCCTCTGCAGGGTCACGAGTGGGACTCAATGATCCTCATGGGTCATTTCCAACTCAGGTTACTCTATGATGAATTTCAGACCACTTGAGAGTACTGTGGAGTAGCAAAACAGTCTGTAAGACAGACAACATCAGAGCATCCATGAAGTCCTGCTGTTCCCCTTGCATGCTATTCATGGTTGGCTGATTACACAGAGAAAAACTCCGGGAGTTCTCTCCCATACACTTGCAGAGGCAGAAGGGATTGCCACCACATAGCCACACTGACAAAATTATCTGGTTTTATGCCAGTTCTACTTACCTTGGAATCTCTGGTACACTAGGACTGATTTTTGTCATGTCTTTTGCTCTTAGACAACCCCCAGTTTCCTTTCTTATTCTCTCCTCTCTCAACACAATTTATATATGCTGTTATTCTACAATTCTCCTTTCTTTGCTTCTCCTATTAGTTTCCCATTTTACTTTTTTCACTTCTATTTTTTCATTTAGCAAACTGCTCCCCAGTCTCAGTTCTTTTGCTAGATCCTTTATCTCGTCATTTTCACTCCTTTCACTCCTGGCCTACTCAAGAATTCCTATTACCTCTACACCATGTTCAGCACCATTCAGTGCACAATTCAGACAGCATGTCTACTCTTCCCCCTTGTAACTGGAATTTTGTCATCCTCAATATATGTAAGAATATCATCCACAGTAAAAAAATTCTCCATAATGACAGAGCTACACCATGAAACACAACAGACAGTTGTCAGCCATGGGGAATTGTAATATACAGGGGTAATATGCTCATCATACATTCATATTATCCCATCCTTAGCCTCCTTATCTCACTGATTTTCTGAGCAACACCAAAGCATGGAACCTCTAGCCTGTGCTAGCAGGAGCTTTCATTCCTGCTGGAAACACCCTTGCTGAATGGAGAGAGATCAAAAGCCAACTGAAAAATTAGCTACTGCTACTTCAAACTGAGCCTAAAGAGATGCAAACTACCCTTTGATACCCATAATGGCAAGATAACATTTACAGAAAACTAAATCATAAGCAGGAGCATGTGTGTCTCCTTTGCAAATGACAGCTAACAGTGCAGGAAGAACTCAGGTCTTTTCAAGGCTTCTTTTGGCTAAGGAGATAAAATCCAGATTCTGTTCAAATGTGGAGATAGTTTTTGACCTGCAATGAATGGCCATTCCACCTTTTCTACTTTACTTGTGGCAATGACGGCTTCTCTAAGAAAATGCTACCAAACATGTATGACAAGTGAGTGAATGTAACAATTTCCATTATAAAGCAATATCTCACTATATTACTTAAGCAATTTTGTTTCTAAGGAATGCCACTTAGAGAACTTACGCTTACAGAACACACCGTAATTGTTAGTGTACTGGCAAAGTAGAATAACTTAGATTTGTTATCAAAGGCTCTGTAACAGAGCTGTCAAACTCTCTTCAGCTACATCTATCCTGCACAAAGATATTATTGAGGGAATAGTCAAAGTTCCCTTACTTCCTTCCCATTTTGCTTATTAGAATGACTGCCTGCTACATATTTGTAATCCATCTTGTGCAATAGCTAGGCTGTTGGCTTATCACTCAAATTTGAACTCAAGAGATAAATAGCCTGCTTTTAATCTGATCCTTGTCCTTTGACTTACCTTACTCAGACAGCCAATTGTTAAAATTTCCATCAGTACAGCTGTATGAGTCATTTCACCCAAACAATCCATGTCTTCAAAGGGCAGACAGGAAGATAAAACAACCAAATTTTATCTTAGGCAACAAGAACTACTGTTGGTATCTATTGGGAGTAAGAATAATATAACTGGGAATAAGAATAATGTGAATGTAATAGAAATCTGACAATAGCACATAAAATAATAGCAATGTGCAATCTGCAGAAAAGTAGCAATTAAAAGGAATAATTCCAGGCTAGGAGAAGATGCCCTAAGCATCTCACAAGCATGTGAAAATGATTATTTGTTTATGGCTTATCACTTACTACAAGTAAAGACCATCAAACATTTGGACAGTGGTTGGCAGTCCACACAAAATCCAGCTCAATTTGAAAGACAGGGTTCATGACTACCTGACTTCTTTATCAAGCACTACTTACTCTTCAGAGAAGAAGGGAGCTAGGTGGTAGGGGGGCAACAACCCAACTGCTGTTCTCAAGAAACAGAAGACACCCAGCACTCAAATAAAACTATTTCATAGCATGTAATACCAAAAGCACCAGTTTAGCTGAAATAAAACACCAAAAGGCACATAAAGGAGAGGGGAACTAATTCTTACTCTGTGGAGAAAAAATATCAAAGTGCAGTAAAAGCAAAAAATGAACAAGCTTAAAATACTGTATATGGAAATTGATGATTCAGAACTGAAACTTTTTTAGATCACTCCCTGTTTCTGACAGCATTTAGGTGTTTTAAGATACTAGGGTACTAGGGCAGTTATCGTGTCTACTAGAGAAGGCATAGCACTATTGTGACCACTGTTGGATTTATCACATATTTTATCATTAACTATAAACAGAGATAGCTTTGCTAAAACAAACATCTGTTCTGTAATTACTCATCTGTCAAGTATAAAATTTTCAAAAAAATAAGACTATCTTGAGTGAAATTTGTGTACCACTGCAGGTAAATATGGATGCAGAAGATTCTTGCACAAATTCTTATCAGGAACAGTAACTTACCAATATTATTGTTATTGTCTCGTGGTTAATGTCTGTACCTAAAATTCTTGGGCAAGTCTGCCAATGTGTACTGTAACAATTAAAATATATCACTCCTTCTTTCACTTGAAATGAGTACAAGTCTTTCAATTGCAGCAAATACAACTCACCAAAAAATGATTGATACAAATTTTGTGTCTCCCTTGTTCCCTGTTTCTATAAGATCAAAAGACAGAAAATAGGACTTGTTTTTCTATTACTGTCTGTCTAGATGCTCTCTCTCGTTGCTTTTTTCCACTAAGCTTCTACATTGTAATTACTTAGAAGGAATTTTTTGATTATTTTTTGCCTGTTCTTCTAAGGTTACCAGCATACATGAATTGCAAACACAGTTTTGGGGCAGCACAAAAAATGCTATCCTACCTGGGAGTATGGGAACTGAGAAGGCAAATGAGATGTTTTCTTGCTTTATACATCTATTTTCCTTCGTGCTTTTACCAGTTCTGAACCGGCCCTTCCCTCAGCCTCTGTATGAATCACTTACTCCAGTGTTCTTTGAAATAAATGCATGTGGACTTATCAGGTTGCTGTAGCTTTGGGACAGATGACTAATAATCCTGACAGCTTGGCTACAAATTTTTGTACTAGAAATAAATGCTGTATGACCTAGCAGAGTAACAGAGGATCCAGCTGCATTGATGCTTTTCTATCAGGCTGTACAGTAACAGAAGGGTCCTACTCTTAACAAAATAGTTTCTCTACTGATATATACATATATGATTAACTGGGTGTCCCACGGCTGTAAAATGATATCCAATTAAACTTCTTCATTGGACCTGAACCACACAAAGAGCACAATGACATCAGAACTGCAGGAAGAAAAATATCTCTGCTTTTACCCTTCTCTTTTATCCTAAGCTTTGGCTGATTATAGATACATATGAATCTCTGAAAAGTTCTTACTTTTTGCTTTCTTTTACAGATATATGGCCATTATTGATCCCTTGAAACCTAGGCTCTCTGCAACTGCTACCAAGGTGGTCATTGGGAGCATATGGATTTTGGCATTCCTATTGGCCTTTCCCCAGTGCCTATACTCCATAACCAAGGTGATGCCTGGGAGAACACTTTGCTATGTAGCATGGCCAGGTGGCCCAAAACAGCATTTTACGTAAGCTTTTGTTCTTTTAAACTTGTGCATGATGGTGTCTAGACTTGCAATGGACTTGGCAAAATCTCTAGCATCCTGCAGATACTCTACACACAGAATAACTAACAGCTTTGATCACTGAGAAATGCAGAGCCAGTTCTCTAAGTAAAGATGGTAAAGCATTATATGTGATAAACTGAAAAAAATTATTCTCTTCCACATCTCTGAGTGGGCTCCCTCCTATGCTGCACTTTCACTGTCATTGCTCCACCTAAGTTGGCTACTTCTATAGAGACAGATATGGTCAGAATTGGGAACATAACATGCAATCCAAAGCAAGCTTCCTCTTTATCCTAACCAGGAAAACAAGGATTTCTAGTCTCTCCTTAGAATTCCTTAGGTTGGAAAAGACCTCTAAGGTCATCAAGTTCAAGCACTAACCTTACACTACCAAGTCCACCACCAGACCATGTCCCTAAGTGCCATATATGCATATTTTAAATATATCCAGGGATGGTGAATCAATTGCTCCTCTGGGCAGCCTGTACCAATGCTGGACAACCCTTGCCATTTAAAAAAAAATTCCTAATATTCAGTCTAAACCTTCCCTGGCACAGCCTGCAGCCATTTCTTCTCTTGTAACTAGGGAGAAGAGACAAATACCCACCTCACTACAATCTCCTTTCAAGTAATTGTAGACAATGAGAAGGTCCTAACCAGATTTTTTCACTAGATCTCTTCATAGGAGGGCTGGATTTTGCAGCTTCATTCTGTTACACTATAACAGTTACTTAAGTCAGATATTAGTCCAAAAGAGAAAACTGGATAACCTGCAACTGGTTCCACTTTCTGAAAGTGAGAATATCAGTCAATTAAATTAAATATATCCTGTTTGTCCCTCTAGTAGAATTAGGAATAAGTGGCTGCTTAGGCATCTGTCCTTTCATGTCTGCACTGACATTTAAGAAAAACATTGTGTTCAAGGCTGAAAGCCTGTGTAACCATCTAGAATCAAATTTGACCTTTTGCTCTTTTTAAGGCAGGTGAAAGAAGTCCTGGTCATGTGCAATTTTTATCACTTTAGGAACTGTACACAGACATTTCTCTTTAGGGCAGGAAGGTCACACTCAGTGACAGCTGGGGATTCTTCACTGATCATTCACTAGGATTTTATCTGAAGTTGGCATTTAACCAGGAACTAAAAGGAGACAAAAGAAATTCTCTTTGTTTTACCAGAGTTTACATCAGCAGTGGTGACTATACTGCACACAAGTCACAGATCTGTGTTGTCTACATGGAATAGATTTGCCATATGAAGAACAGTGGGTGACAGGACTCTTATCAGGGGTTTTGCATCAATATATGACTAAAATATTTATTTTCCTCTTTCATTTGTGGTCCAGACTAGAGCTCCAAATGCCTAGCTTGCCCTCATGATACTTGGCTGTGCAATTATATCAGCTCAGCTGGTTATGGACAAGCATATCTTATTCTGCAGTCACTAATCATGATAACTAGAGTCGTTCATAATACATACTAGTGCAGGCTCAGCATCAGACACCCCACAAATCACATGCATTCAAATGCACATAAATTTGCAGTGCAATCCAAGACTTTCAAAAAGACAGTGAAAACACCAAGGACTAGCCAGTTTATGCAAAACATGCTTCGTGTTAAAGTAGCAGACTTGATTTCTAGCAGCCCATTCCATTGGTATAGCTCCTCTGAAAGCACTTACCACCTTAATACCTTCTCGTTGCAGGTATCATGTTATTGTGATTGTGCTGGTCTACTGCTTTCCACTGCTTGTCATGGGCATCACTTATTCCATGGTGGGAATTACCCTCTGGGGAGGAGAAATACCAGGTGACACATCCAACAAATACCATGAGCAGCTCAAAGCTAAGAGAAAGGTACTGTTCCGGTAAATCCCACTAAGTGGATACTTATAAAATCATCTGCAATTGTGTTGCAACATAGCACAGTAAATTCTTTCAGAAAAACCAAATCACTTGAAATAGCAGTAATGAGAGACCTGCTTCAATACAGAATTTGATTATGTTTGACAAGTTGTCTTCTCTGTTCACTGGCTGTTCTTTTTGTAACTTTAATGCTTGTCATTAAATAAAGGAAACATTTGGGTTTTAACTTCTTACTCCACATGTAGCAGCACATACCGTGTCTGCTATATCTAAACGAAGGCAAAAAGTTTAGCCTTCGCAGAGTTAAGATACTGAGTTCTGAACAATGGGCTAGCAAATCATTAGCTCGTTAGGTAATATTCTCATCCTACTGAAACAAAAGTGAATCTTGTAGTAATTCTTAGGTGATTAAGGTCCATGCATATTTGAGATAAGCACTGATCAGCCTGTTTGTAATAAACAAATCAGAATTTAAACAATAACTTTTTTGTGAGAAATGCAAACAAGTTTTCCCAGATATTTTCTTTCAATCTCTTTCACTGTAGGTATTGCTTAAACTAACTAGACTTGGGATTGTTTATGAACTAAGTATTTTACTATCTCCTATAGTATATAGGAGATATATATAGTATATGGGAGATATATTTTAGTATATAATAAAGATAGTATTTTACTATCTTTGCTAGATCAGTTTTCCTAATGTTGCAGTGCAATGAAGGTTTCTCTCCCATAACATTCTTTTTTTTTAACCCAGCTTTTCTTGTTTAATAAAGTGGCCTTCTGCTTTTCAGTTCAGATTTTTTTTTTTATACTAAAATGTATTGAACCTTTCAGATTTGAAAAAATGGTACCCTAATACAAACTTCTAATTCACAATGATGAGCACACTTTCAGTTGCTCGATTTGCTTCCTGATACTGTATGTTTGAACAGTGGAATATGCTACTGTGCTGCAGCAATAACAGAGTGGGGCGTATTGGGTCCTGAGACAACATGAGATCTCCTGAAAATTCTGGAGAACACTAACATTTTCATTTCTTTCAGGACACTGCAGAAATAACTTTCTGTAGCAGACACAATTTGCAAAAGCAAATGTGGAAGGGAAATTATTAAATTATTGCAAAACCAGGACATGCCAGAAATTCAGGACTTTTTATCATAATGACTAAGTAAAATAATCATATTGTGACATAGAAACTAGAGGTTTCTGAAAAGACAATCTGGCCTTTACTATATGAAATAGAAGGCCCAATTAAATCTCTTGAATACTTTAAAAACAGTACCTGTTTAGAATTCTAAATATATACAGGAGACAAGGAAGAGCATCCTTAATTAAAGGATTTTAAATGTGATAGTATGGGAATGCATACCTTCATGGCATGCAACAAGGGAATTAAATTATGTGCAGATACATTATAACTGCATCAGTGACTTTATGGGTAGAGCTCCATGACAGCACTTTAGCTACACTGCTGTGCTCTCCAGCAGGATTTATGAAATAACTGGTATTTGGAAAGATGAATCATAATTGGTTATTCACAGAGAGGAACTAACAGACTGGAATCCAAATAAAGCCATAACTCAGCCTGTCTCTGATAACAGAGCTTGTGCTTTGCCTTTTCAGGCAAAAAAATAATCTATTTTTCTTGCTATTTAGTATATAGGTATCTAGACATATGGAAAATCTGTGCACTTATAATGAAGGAGAAATATAAAATGGCTGACTATGTTTCCTATCAGACAATGTTACAGTGCAAAGGTGTCTGATTCGGGCTGTTTGAAATGATATTTAATATTAAGAATGTAGTGAAGAGTTCATGTAAGACCTTTAAAAGAAACAATGTTTGCTAACAAAAGATTTGAAGCTTGACAAAGTTGCCAACAAATGGTCTTACCATTTCATATATATGATTGGGCAATACAGTCCTGAATCCTCCTGAAAGCAACATTAAGGGATGAAGGATTCAAAGAATAGACTGCACATTGTAGGTTAGACAACACAAAGTCATGCTTAGTACCTTTAAGGTCAAAGACAAAGTATTTAGAAATTCAGGACTGGATTAAACTACAAAACTACTTTTGCTTTTTTTTTTTTTTTTTTTTTTTTGACAGACAGCTCAAATATCTCAGGGACTGACCCATTTAAATCTGCCAGACATTAGTCTTTTGAACTTTTGAACATTTGCTACATGAGGGGACTTTGCAGCCATTATCCCTTCTTCTTAAAGCTCCCAGCATGAGACTGACTGATATTCAGCTGAACATCATTTATTCTCCTGCAATTCCCATTTTCACAATATGGAATTATAGTCTCAATGGTGTCATACATAACAAGTTTATACAAGTGGCTCATAATGTTAATGTAAGATTTACTAGGTCAAAATGTTCTTTATATTCACGGCAAATACTTGCTCTCAGATGTTGTCTCCACACCCTGCTTTTGCTATCTAACAAATTCCAATCATTCTTTCAGCATTACTTAACCCATAAGAGGGAATAATCCATGTACCACAAGTAAAATCAGTTAGTATTGTTTTTATCAAGAGATACAGTTCTGATACAAATGTTTTCTGAAAAAAAGAACATTTATCTCAACAGAAGATGCTATTGCCTGGCCACAATGTGAAGAATACAGAGGAACAGAAAATGTTCTCTGTAACTTCTATATTTCCTTTACTGTTCCTTTTACTTATGACTGTTAACTTTGTGATAATGTGTCACCAGGCATCTTTTTCAGTAATTTTCATTCCTCCACACCTATGCTTCTGCCTGTATTTTCTGTTTCCCCTAACACAGCTTGAGGTATCATCTCAACTTCTTTTAGTAATGAAGATTGATTAAAAGCCACATTGTTTCAATATATTTTTTTTCTCAAATATGAGTATAAAACAAGAAAAAAGTCCTACATGTTTGCTAGCAAATCACAGTCTCTGAGATTTCCTGTATGAACACTTCATACATATTTCTTTGGTTTGCTCTCTTTCTTTCCCCTCCTTTTCCTAGATTTAGAGAAAGTCCAGAGAAGGGCAGCTAAAAATGATCAAAGGACTTATGAAGATATTAAAATGGCCTGAACTTTTAAGATTGGAGATAAGGACATTAAAGGACAAGATGTCAGGGTTTAAGGAAACACAAAGGGGGTGGATAAAGTGACTGAAGAACTGTTGGTGACCAAATCCTGAAATACAAGAATTGATAGGAGAGCAGCACAAGGCTGGTAGAAGAGAGAGCACTTTAAGAAAGGATAATTTAAAAGTCGGTAAAGGGCGTCTGATATGTTCTCCTGCCAGATGCTTATGATGTCAGAGGATCCAGAAAAGTTTTAGGCAGATTAACAAACAATAAATTCATAAATCATAGTTTTTTTAAGGTTGGAAAAGACCACCAAGATCAACAGGTCTAACCTCTAACTGGTCTCCATGGTCAACCAGACCACAACGCTAGGTGCCACGCCCATTCATTTCTTGAACACTTTTAGATATAATGACTCCACCACTTCCCTGGGTAGCCTTTTCCAATGGCTGACAATCCTTTCAGTGAAGAAATGCTTCTTGACGTCCAAAAATTCTCCTTAAGGTCCAAGCAGATACTGAAAGGATGAATCAGAGATGCACTTCTCTTTAACACAATCATGGGTGCCAGGGCAGTATTAGGAAAATAGAAAATGAAAAATGGCCAGGTTCATGAGATTTCCATAAACAGGACCTCCTACTGCCTCCGTGACAGATTAGTAGGAGAGATGGGCAACTCTCAGAAGGAACTGTCCTATGTCTTTATGCTCCTGTTTTTACATACCAGTGCAGCTATAAAAATACTCCTGACTTCTCATTGGCTTTCAGTGCAACTAAAAATTTCCTTTTTTATTTCTTTACTGCATATGAATACATAACATGAAAATACATTAATATATATTTTATACCACACATTACAAAGAAAAGTACTAATTAGAAATAATGATACTTTTTCTAGCATTAAAAGGTAGCCTTCCAGGTCAGACCAAGAAAAAAAAAAAAAGATAGTTTCCCTATGGGGTAGTTTATTGTGGAGCAGAGGCAGGGAGAAAAAGAGAAAAGGAAAAACAAATCAAGAGAGTCAAAGCCTAAAATATTGCAGTATGGCATCAAAACTCTTGAAATACTGGATTAATTATGGGCTGACATTTGAAAAAACAAGACTATACTCATAATACAAAGCTTATTCAACATAAATAGGTGATGAGAGTATTACACTATGAACTCACAGATCAGATGATAACCAATAATTAACTCTGAAATCAAAGATCCTCCTAGTTCACAAGCAACCACTAAGTCTAGACAGACTAGGATTAGATATTGCTCCATTCATAAAACCTTTTGTGAAAGTTTGCATCCAGCCATGTGAAACAAAATGTTTTGACACTCTGGGTCCAAGGATTTGTCTTGCATGTGACTTCCTACACCATCTTGAAACTTCACTTTTATCCTACATATTTGTTCAGACTTCTTCCATATTGGAAAGTAATTGCTTCCTCATGGGACTACATAAAGACATGGGATGTTTAAAATCTTCCCAGTTATTTAAGCAATCCATCTTCTCCTCGTTTATCCTAGCATGAGAACCAGCACTGCAATCTCCCCTAATTTATATATTATATGCCATTTTCAAAATGACATAAGGGAATAGAAGTTTAATACAGCAGTAAGTAAATATAACTTGATTAACCTAAATTTAGTTAAAAATACCCCCTTAAATCAACTACTCTACACAAATTTGTACCACAGACTTCGAGGGAAAGCCCATCCTTCACAGCTGATGGCCTTATATACACTGAATCAACACGTGTGACTAGTTTTTAAAAGTCAGACAGTAAGAAACAGAATTTTTTGGTCTTTTTTCAGGAAATGGTATGCCAAGGCTACACATACATCAAAATATTCACTAGACATGTTTAGATGTCCAAAGAGAACCAAATCCTAGAATACACTGTATGTAAGGTGAAGGCATCTGGACTAC